TGATCTAACAGGAACAATTAGACACAAGTAGGACAGAAGTGGAAATAACTATGAGAGGAACTTGCACGAGAGGGATACAAACCAGTGAAAAGTATGGAAAAGTCATGACCAAGCCTTTTTAGAAAGATATAAGAGCAAAAGACTGACTTAAAGACAGCAAATGGATGAGTAAATACTTTATTGAACACATTAATTGACCTGCATAACTCACAGCACCAAGATCAGTGTAAAAAGATTTGAGCATTTTAAATTATTTTTTAAAATAAGCACGTTTGTAGACTATGATGACATTCCATCAGAACAGATGAAGACATTTTGTGTATTTATATAAACTTATAACAGCAGAAGTCCTCCAAGTGATAAGAGAGTAAATGACTTTTAAGGAAAAAATCCCCATATGTGAACAGAACAGAAACCCAACTATCTGCATCTTGTGGGGTTTTGCTCTTTGTATGATCAATCAAACATGGTCTGTCTCAAGACGCTGAGCTAGATGGACCATTGGATCTTTAATTTGGCAAATCCTGCCGGTCTTGCACATGGGGGTTTTTTCTGTGAGCTTTTTTGAAGGAGTGGTACCTCTAAGCTATGAACAGACAATAGAAGGGATTATATGGCAGTAATATCCTTTTATCTCTGGTGTCACTTTGCTTCTGAGTTTGGGCAGATTATCTGAGGGTTTGGTTTTTCAAAGGTCAGTGCTCTTAAACAGGTGATTATTATCTGATATTTGCCTTATACATATGAAAATACAGCATTCAGTAAATCTTGTCTGCCTTCATAATCAGTGATACAGTTATCAGATATGCTACATGGGCAATTTAATTCTAGTCACCCATAGCAAGTCTCCTCAATAGAATAAAGAAATGTCTTCATAAGTAGTCTCCTTTTTGTGAGCATCCTTTTCTCACAACAAAAAGAATATCTTAGAATTGTATTTGTAATGTTTCTGACCATGGTAGTTCGACTGAAAAAGGGAAATTGGCATACATTTTATTATCTATTATTTATGTAGAACTAGCACGTGCTGGGCACTTTATGGAGGCATTATAGAAAGGAATTTCCCTGAAGAGGTTATAGTACAAAGAAGCTACAAACAGGTGCAGGAGCAGAGATGGGAGGCAATAGAGTGCAAATGTTTGAAAGCAGATGTGGAGTATCTCCTGCCTCGGATCAGTAATTTCCTCTCTCTTAATGTATGGCTGTGTTGGGGTTTTTTAATGACTTTTGTACAGTGATGACTAAGATTATAGGCATTGTTAGGAAAAGTCACATAAAAGCAATTTCATACTGGGAAAAAATATGGATCTTTTTCCTCCCCACTTGCCGTAGCCTCATAAATTGTGACTGCTTTAGCTTAAGCTTTTCAATATAATCATTCCCTGTGTATCCTGAGTAGCAAGCAAACATTGATAGCTCATCTGTTGCTTTTGGAAGATGTCATCCTCTTACTGATGCTGGTTGAATGGAGCATATAGTCTCTTCTCAGCCTGAAACTGTCATCACTCTTTAGTATTACAGTTCCTGTAATTGTTAGCAGCTGAGGAGCAGATACACAATCCCCCCATCTGTCCCATAAGTGATGTGACAACCTCACCAGAATGGCAGAGCAGACCTTAGCAGGTAGCATCTGCCTTAGGCAGCTCAACTAATTCTGTGATTTGGGAAAATCTCTGTAAGGGTTAACGAGGCAGGCTAGTCTGAGCACCCAGTTTAATACAACCTTGTTGGAAACTTCCCTGTAGTAAAGTCTCCTCATGCTACACTTTCCTCTGAGTCTAAGTGCATACTGTGTAGCACCTGGAAGGATAATGTCTGTCCTTCAGAAGGAATTGAGAGGTATTGGAGAGGTAACAGAACCCCTCCTCAACAAGAAATGAGCTGATTACTGCCTGGGTCAGCACAGAGGCTGGAATTAAATCACCATCAACCTGCTCTGTGCATAATGAACCAACAAATGAGTCAGATTTTTTTTTTTTTTTTTTTGTATGCATGATACAGATGTTCGGGTTCAAATTAATGAAAGCTTGGATTAATTGCACAGTGTAAACACATGTTAAGTTTAAGAACTTGGAGCTTGCAAGGAACTTGCTAGATCTGCAAGCTCAATTTCTGCTTGTCATATATAGCCTCATGATATTGCATCATCCATAAAGTTACCAGGCTTCATCAGGCTCCATTTTAAACATAGTTGGATTCTTTCCCCAGGGCTGAAAGTGCATGACTACTCCAAAACTCTTCTCTGAAGCTTAAAAACCTTTTTCTAATGTCTAGACTAAATTTATTCATGCTCCATCAAAGCTATTTGTTTGTGTGGCAATATAGTTCTTCTTCTAAAGCATTTCTTTTCCCTTGGTAGTACTTGTATGCTGATGCATTAACAGAGAGATACTATATCACTTTTCAGCCTCTGTTCAGCTGTGCCGAGGAAGCCAACCACTTCTATCTTCCTCTCATAAAATAATCTCTAGTTCCCTGATGGTTTCAGTAACCTTTCTCTGCCTTTCATCCAGTGTGAAATCATTCTTGAAGCATGGACATACCAGATGAGGTCTGATCTGCATCTTACTGAAATAACACACCTCTAGTTCTGCTTTACTAAAGACACCTTGATGTGACGGAGCATGGCAGTTGCCTTTTTTGTGTTTGTGTCTTATTATGGGTCAGTTTTAGATACCCTATGATCTACTCAAAACACACATCTTTCTTCACTTCCAAACTTGGAGTTGATTGTCTGTCACAAAATGCTTTCAGGAAAACTAAGCAACTGGGGCTGGTCCTCAATAAGATAGAAAAAAGAGTAGGAGAAAATGGTTAGTTCTTGAAGTCAGGGAATGTCCCAAGGGTTGTTCCTTGGAGGCTTGTGTTGGGGCTTGTGCTGTTCAACATATTGGTAAATGACATGGAAGAGGGAGGTAGCAAAGTTTACTAGAGACACGAAATTATTTAAGGCAGTAAGGATGGTGGAAGAGCAGCAGGGCAGCTAGGCGATGAAATGGCACTTGAAAATGGGTGCGGATAAAACGTTAAGTCATGCACACAGCAAAACCAGTCATAATTTCACATCTGAAGTGATGGGATCTGCACTGGTGGGTCCCCGAATACCTCTGAGGGGCAAGATCCTGGGGTTCTGATAGACAGAGCCAAGAAAATGTCAGCTCAGTGGTAGTCAGAAATGCCGGTCAAATGTCCAGTATTATTAGGGATGGAGTAGAACACAAGGTGAGAAACTTTCTCTGCAACTTCATAAATCCAATTCAGCTGCATCTGGCATACCCTGTGCAGTTCCAGTTTTCTTATCTCAAAGCGAATAAAGCAAACAGAAGCTGAGCAAGAAAAAAAGCCATTAATTAATACAATTTTCTGGGGTTCAAAAGACTGAGCTTGGGTAAATTATCATAATATCATTAAAATTCAAATACAACTGAAGTTTCCTGTTGAGTTAGCTAACACAGAGAAACTACACCTCATGCGTTTCTTCTCTAAGACTTTGTATGTTGTAACGATAAGACGTTTTGATTGCCTTTCATTGTCTGGAAGTGTCTCTATGCGTCTTAAATAAAAAGAACATTTCCTTTTCTTACTCCGCTGGAAAACTTCAAATATCAATATTTCTGCTGTTAAATTCATTAACATGGAGGAGAAATCTCTCGCGTTCATGTAAAACCTGAAGGGGCTTGGAGAGCAGCCAGTTTCACAGGGAAGCAGGCCGGGGGGACCCGGGAGCCCTTGGGGAATGTCTGCCTGGTCCAGTGCCACACTGGGCAGACTGGGCGAGGGCAGAGTGCGCCCAGTTCAGAGATCAGAAGCAGCGTAACTCTGTAGGCACTGAGCTCTGCCTGGGCTCCTCAAGACGGCTAGTTGTAGTAGCTCTGGAAAATGCCTCGTTGTACAGCGCTAACATAACCCGAATGAGCTGGCGGATTTGGGGCTGCAGAATTACTAGGACCTCTTTGCACTTGCTTGGTTTGATACCAGTGTAAAGACTGCCCAAACTGGATTTCAAGAGATTTCCTCCTCTTTGCTGCAATGAAAATACTCATTTTTTTGGTTGGCAAACAGAAGAAAGCGTTCCTGGTTTATGCTGGATTTACTGTTCTTTTCTGTGCCTATGATTTACATTTAGAACCAGGCTGTCTGGCAGAGCGTTCTTTGGCAGCGTAGCTGCTTGCGCTGGGTACAAGTGTAATTGCACACCTTCGTGGGATTGAGATTGCTGGCCACAAGCAGCCTGTACACCAGGGCGTACATTCCCGCACTCTGAACAGATCCCTATCGATACTTCTAGTGTGTAAATGACTAGGCAAAAAATCCAGCCACAGTGGTTAGATTCCAGGAGTTTTGCTATGAAAATATTTGTTCTACTTCTAGATTAGCTTTGGATTGTCATCTAAACGCCTTGAGGAATCATGGAAGTATATAGCATGGAATGCTGATTATAATACTTCTATGGAATTTAAATGATTTTCACAAAAGGTCTTAGAGTGTGTTACTACGAAGTAGGTGTAGAAGCATTTTTCTGAAGTATGGATTGTTCTACTTGACAAGGTGGGTAAAAGAAGTC